GGAAAGTGGGCCACCTAGTATACGTTTTAGTGTATTTTCTTAGCATTTTCTTCATTACTCTATGCTCTTAAGACAGTTTCCAGAAGCTTTTTCTTTTTCAACCATTTTCAACCATAATGCTTGTTTTGCTGGGAGGCGGTGGAGCCCCTCCTGCCACCAGCCTGCTCTGCAAGCTTTCTGCTCCTGGTGTGGAGAGGAGGTCTGTCTTCGCCGCTGCCCTGAGAAGTGTCCCTGTCCCTGCGCTCCCTGTGTGCACCCCCCCGCCCCTGCACGCCCCACACCATGTGTTTGGGATCACAATACTTTGGAAGGAGACACCTTTGAAGGATACATCATCTCTGGCTGCCCCTGTGAGGCAGGAGATGGTCAGGAAGGAGGAAACTCCAGAGGGGCCCCAGGGCTAAGAAAAAGAACAGGGATAAAGGGCGGAGCCCCTGTTCTAAGACTGGTAGTTTCTGTATCTGGAGAAGCACTGAATCCCAGTGAATCAGGACTGCACCTGCGCAGAAGATGCTACCTGACCCCTGCTTCATTACAACAGTATTATAATAAATTAGCATTGTGGGACCCCCTTCCTGGTAGCCAATCAAGGAAAGCATGGGAGACCATGTGCGCAGTAACTTTTAAATAATAGTACTTGTACATGCACAATAAAAGCCCGCCAAAACTAGCCAGGAGAGACCCACCCTAAAGGAATACGAGCCCTCTAGCCCCTCAGGTCGAGGCTGTTAGGCTCTGCTCTTCTCTGCTCCGCTCTGCTCAGAGCTGGCCTGCTCCCATGTTCTGTGTGGCTCAAGAAATCCGCCTACTCTTGCTTTCTGCTATAAACTCTTGCGTGTTCCGTTCAATTTTTTTGTCCACGATCACCAAGAACCTGGTTACCTCTGCCCACCTGTGACACCTGTGCTTCCTTGTCGCCCTGCTCGCCACGCTGGGTGCGGGACCCCCCTCAAGGCCTCAGGCCCCCTCAGGGGTGGGAGCCCCAGCCTGCCGCCTACAGCGATTCACTGCAATTGTTTGTTGTACAATGCTGGAATGAAATTTTATGATCTGGCTTTAAAAGTTATTTTTAAAACCAGAGAATTGCTTGAAAATAATTTATAGCATCAAAGGCTATGACAAGAGCCGGCCGCCCCCGTCTCCCCGCCCCTCCTGCCCTGGCTCCCAGGGGCAGCCCGGCCGGCGGCCCGGCCTCGTGCTCACTGCCGTCTGCCCCATCCGCTCCTCCCCCCGGACTTGCCTGACCTTGTCCAGCGAAGGATGCCACGATTTCTGACTTCCATCCTCCTTCATGATTTTTTCATTTGGTGCACATATCTCACCACAGGAATATACCCTGATGATATAAGTGCCGTCAAGGGTCTGGGGACCCCTGAACCCTGCTGGTGGGCACATGGACTGGTGCCATCATTCTGGAAAGCGATATTCTGCACAATTCGGAATATACAGATCCTGTTTAGTAATCCCCCAGCAGAGAACTCTCCCACAGCTGGAAGCTGGTAGCAATTTTCTCTGCCCTCAGAGTCTGAGATGTGTGTGTGTGTGTCAAATTTTTAATTCATTAATTTGAATAGGTAATACATGGCATGGTTCAAAAGCAGAAAGTCCTTCTCTATCTACCCAGCCCACATTTCTCAAAAGTTAACTATTATTGTTAGGCTTTTGTCTATTTTTTAATGTTTTTAAAGTTTTAGAGATTTTTAATGTAAAACGAGCGAATGCAAATTCACATTCTTTCCTGTGCCTTGTCACACAAACGCTCACATGCTATACCTGCTGCTCTGCACCCACGTCACGTTGGACACGGCCCCGGTCAGTGCGCGGGCCCGTGCGCAGGGCTGCGGGGACGGGCGGAGCCAGCTTCCTGCTCATCGGCGCTGGCGCCGGGTGACGGTGACAGTGCCACTTTCATAGGGTCGGTCAGGCCAGGGCTGGGCGCTCACGCCCGAGTGTTGAGTTTGGGGGTGAAGCGGAGCGTCCAGCTGAGTTGCACCCGGCTGTGGCTCTCGGCCATGGACAGGCTCGTCCGCAGCAAACTCGAGCCTGAGGAGGGCACTGCTGGCGGTGCTGTGGGCGGGTGCTCTCCACTCCCCCCCCCCCGCACTGAGGACCTCGGATGAGTCCTGCAACAGGGTGGGACACAGCGACTGGGGCCTGAGGCCGCCTGACAGCCCTGAGGGACAGAGGCCACGCTGGTGCTGTCTGTCCCCGAGTGGTCAGGGACAGGGCCTGTGGCATCGCTGGGACACCTTTGGCCCCCTCTCTGTGGATTGCCCTGGGGTTGCCTGGGGCCCTGCCTAGAGGGCTGCGAGCAGAAGGGACAGGCTCTCCAGAGGCTTGGCTGGGGCTGGGTTCTGGGGATAAGTCAGCGGCCACAACGAGGTGCCTTCCCAGGGACCTGCAGAGCGTGGGGATGGCGGGATGGCGGGGGGCTCTCCAAGGGAGCCACAGCGTGGGGCCGGGACCTCAGAGGACCCCCGGATCACCCACGGAAGCCGAATGGTGCCGAGCCCCAGCCAGGTCTGAGGCCCTGAGGCAAACCCCGGCTGGGGAGGCCTTCCTGTCCCCTGCCCGCGCTGCTCCCTTCCTGCAGGGCTCAGAACTCAGTTCCAGGCAACAAAGGAGAGACCCTGGCCGCAGCCCTTCCTGGCCCCCGGGGCCCCGTGGGGCCGCTGGCGCGCCCGCAGCCCTGAGGCCCACGCACCTGCTGTGCAGTGAGCCAGCAGCTGTGCACCTGCAGCGTGTGGGGTTGGGTTGGCTGGTGCCGAGCGGGGCCTCAGGGGCATCATTGGCCTTGGGCGCCATCTGTGCTCCTGCCACCTGCCCTGAAGTGCAGGCCCTGCCCACAGGAGCACCTGTGGGCCACCTGAGCAGGATAGCGGGAGGACGGAGGGGCCTCTGCAGGGCGGGGCCCTGACTCCTGGATGTGGCTAAGGAGCCACTGCTGTGGCTGTGAGCAGGCGGGGCGGGGGCACCGCTCTGGGCTCCGAGGCTGCACCCAGAGATAGGGCAGTGAACCCCCAGCCTGGGGGCTGCTGGGGAGGTCCTCGGAGGGAAGGCCCACCGCCTGGCCACCCTGAGGCCTGCGCCTCGGGGCGCCTCAGGGCTGTTCAGGAGGCGGAGAGCTGCCTCACTGCCTCAGGCCTCCTGCGTAAACCTGAGACACAACTGCACTCGGCCGTGCTGCCTGGCCCTGCGGCCTCGGCAGGGCTGCTCGTAGGCTGCCCCCTTTTCTCCTGTCCTGCACCGTCCCCCAAAGTGGGCGTGAGCCTGGGCCTCACCTCGGTGTCCTCCCCTGATGCCCAACTGTGCGGGGCCAGGGAGGGGCGGGCGGGCTGGAGGGAGCAGGTGCGGTGGGGGCCTCCTGCCAGGACTCCTTCCCCGGAGGCGGGAGCTCTGACGAGATCAGCAAGGTGGGACCAGCACGCCAGGCGGCGGGAACAGCGTGTGCAAGGCCACGGCTGCAGGAGCCAGGGAAGGGTGCTCCCTTTGCTCGGGGACCACAGGCCCGGGGCATCAGGGCCGCCTCACCTTCTGTGGGCACTGGCAAGTGGGACTGGCCGCCCCGGAGTCTCAGGCGTGGGCCCGGCCCATCTTTCCGCAGCACCCTTTCCTCGAGCTCCTCATAGCGGGGAGGAGGCTGCTGCAACCTCCCTCCGACACAGGCCGCCGGGCTGGACCTCGGCGGTGGGGGCGTGGCTGCGGGCCAGCCTTGGAGAGAGAGAGCATGGGGATCCTGGCCTGGGAGAGGGGTTGTGAGGGCACGGGAGGGCACTGGGGCCAGCTGCCCCGCCTGCTGTCCCCGAAGCTCAGCTTCTGGGGTTTCCTCACAGCCCCTTGCACTGAGTTACTTAGGAGTAAGAAGAAGGAGCCGGGGACCCGTGATGCTTGGGAGCCTCCTCCCGAATGTCCCATCTCCTGTGGCCAGGTAGGGCAGAGTCCCCTCTGGAGGGAACTGGGCAGGCGTCCCTGAGCCCAAGGCCCTCAGCCCTGGGACCGCCATCATGCGTCTGCAAGGCCACTAACTCCTTCTGGGCCACTTGCCCTACTCCTGAGAGGCCGTGCTTGGTGTGGCCGGGGGCAGACAGTCCCCACTGATGTCTGCAGGGGTCCTGCCTAGTATTGCCCCAGGAAAGGCCAGGCCCCAAGAGAGCATGCCGGGTGGGGTGGGGGGGATGCAGAGGGGCTTCTAGCCAGCTCCAGGGACCCCCAGGACGCTTTGGGTTTGGCCCCAGGGCCCCGCCCAGGCTCCTGTCAGGAGCTGGATGCGGTGTGAGGGGTGGGAGCCGGGGCAGGCTGAAGCCCAGTCCCTGCTCTGCCGCCCATTCCCTGCACGACTCGGCCTCTCTGAGGTCTCAGGTGGAGCAGAGGGGCTGGTCAGGGCACAGAGCAGCCCCCGCTTTACCCTTACACACAGCGGCCCCTCACCTCCGCCAGCCGCTGGGTCCTCTGGGAATCTTGGTGAGGTCCCGGGGTCCCCATGCTGCCCGGATAGTGGGGCCTGATGTGGCTGGGGCCAGCGGGCTGTGTTGGTTCACCCCCGGCACACCCCTCTCTGCCCAGCACCTCCTGACCGGGAACAGTGACGCACATCACACTCCCTGACTTGCTGGCCGGGGGACCTGGTCACGTGCCAGGTGAGGGCTCAGCAGTGCCACGCCCTATCTGCTTCCTGGCCCAGAAGCTTGGCGTGGTGCCTCAGGGGCTGAGCGGGGCCCCTGGGCGGAGCCTCACGGTGGGCCGAGGGTGCCTCCCCAGCTTCAAGCCCCCTGCTCCCCACACCCGCAGGAGAGAGGCATCTGGCCGCTCCTCCGAGGCTCCTCGAGCGCGCGCTCTGCAGCAGGCCCTGTCGGCCAGCACGGCCTGGGGCAGCGCAGTGGAAGCGGCCGCCACGCCTGCACCTGCCCCAAGGCCACAGCATTCCCAGGCCCGCGCGTGGTGAGAGACGCCACGTGGACATGGATACACAGGGTGTACGAATGTGTTTATACTGGCTCGACTGTTTACAAGGTACTGTACATGTTATCACCTCCGTGACCCGAATTTGTCCTGCTGACCGGCGTCCCAGCTGTCACCAGAAAGCCATCCCCTGATACCAGAAAGATCCAGAAAGGGGGTGCCCAGGGCTGCAGAAACCAGCCCATCCCGAGGGGCCCTCTGCAGAGTGTGGGGGGCACTTGGTGGGCTCCAGCCCTGCTCACAGCGCGGCAGCGCCTGTTGGAGATGCGAAGGCTCTCAGGCGCCCTGGCGGCAGACGGGGTGCCGGCCTCCGCGGCCGGAGTCTGCCAGTGAGAGCGGGTCCTCGCAGAGGCTGGACAGGCTGCCCAGCCACGCAGCCACCACCGTCCTCAAGGCAGGGCCCCCGAGGCACGTGCCGCCCATGAGTTTGGAGGCCCTGGGCCCTGCCAGGGTTGAGGTCCCACCAAAGGAGAAGAAAAGTCTCCTGAGCCATGTGGTCTGTGCGGCAGGCACGAGGCCACGGGGTCACCAGTGGCAAAGTAGTGAGGCACCCAGGCCTCCCCTGACCTCTGGGCCAGCCGAGTCAGGGCTGCAGAGGGCTTCTGCGGGCTTCCTCTCCTCCTCCTCCTCCTCCTCCTCCTCCTCCAGCTCCCTGATCCTCACGTCTTCCCCAAAATAGAAGACCTGCAGATTTAAACAGGCCCGGCCCTTGGTTATACTTCTCTCCAGCATGTGACCTCCTCCGCAGGCAGCCTCCCGCCCCAGGGGACATTGCGCAAGGTCCTTGGCTCAGGCCCGTTGATGTGGGTCCCTTCCGCCCGCCGCTCGGCTGTGTGAACAGGCTGGACAAGCAGGCGGTGGTGCGTTTCTCACTTCCCGGCCCAAGAATGGGGACTAGGGATTCCAAGCCCGGGGACATACAAGTTCATCGCCCATCAGGGCAGCCACCAGCCGTGGGGGGATTGTGGTCCCAGCCTCCTCTTCTACCCAGGCCTTGAGTTCCACCCCGGCCCCAAGATCATGGCCTGGACTGCGCTCTCCTCAGCAGCTGGGGGCCCCCCAGGAGGCTGATGAGCTGGGGACTGGCGAAGCCCCTCAGCCCTGTCCAGGCCCCAAGCACCCACCCCACCCCGACCCCCACCCCGACCTGGGCACACAGACTCACCTGAGAGATTTCCACCTCTCTTTTTCCGTGTGATTCTCTGGACTCTCACTTTCATAAGAAGCCAAATAAAGACCTAGTCAGAAAATGAAGTGAAATTATCCAATTATGGTTGACGATACCCTGTTCTACACCCAAAGTTTTAAAATTAAACTTGCGGTTGGGAGATAATTGTAGATTCACACGCAATTGTTAAGAAATAATACAGAGGGATATGTACCCTTTAGCCAGTGTCTCCGGATGGCAATCCTCGCAAAAACTCGGGACAAGATGGCCCTGGGCTGGGGACGCTGACACAGGCCTGAGGCTCTGTGTGCCCCTGGAGCCGGCCGGTGCCTTTTACAGCCCGCCCACTTCCCTCCCATTTCCCCCCCTTCCCGGACCCCTGCGACCACTGATCTGTTCTCTGTCTAAATCCTGCCGTTTCAACAATGTGACGTAAATGGAATCGGACAGTACGCAGCGGCTTGGGACTGGCTCTCCTCGCCGGGCAGCATTCCCCCGAGCTTTGCCCGTGGCGTGTTGAGTCCACTCCTCGCGTGGCGAGCTCTGCGCATTGGGTGTGTGGCCCGCGGCCCGCAGCCCGCGGGCACCCGCGTGGCCTACAGGGCTCGGCCGCAACGCTCTACGCTGCCGCAACACCGGTGAACGGTTTTTGTGTGAATGCGAGCATTAATTTCTCAGGAATAAATGTCCAAACATGCAATTGCTGAGTCGTATTTAGTTGCGTATTTAGTTTTATAAGAAACTCTTTGTTTAGTTCCACATCCTAAAGATTTTCTGTACTTGTTTCTATAGTTTGAAATTTGAGTCTGTGGATCCTTTGAGTTAATTTTTGTGTACGTGGGGCCCTGAGGTCAAGGCTCCTTTCTGGGCCCGTGGACGTCTGAACGCCTCAGTCCCGTTGGTGGAAAAGGCTGTCTCTCTTGCCCTGAACTGCTTTTGCACCTTCGTCAAAACTCACTGGGCATATTTGTGTGGGTCTATTTCCGGGTTCCCTATTCTGTCACATTTTCCACGTGTCTGTCCTGCTAACGCCACACGACCTCTACTACTGTGGCCATAAAATATTGGCCTCAGTATTGGGTAGGGTGATTGCTTCCACTTCATTCTCTACCCCTCCCCCCAAAATTGTTTCAGCTATTCTAGTTTCTTTGGTGTTTCGTATAAATTTGAGAATAAATTTTCGAATAAATTTGAGAATGTCAGTCCCTGGGCATCGTGTCTCTCCACAGAGTTAGCCCTTCTCTATTTCGCTCATCAGGACGGTGTGGTTTCTAGCACACGAATCTTGCACATGTTTAGTTAGATTCACACCTACTTCATTTTGTGGAGCAATTATAAATGGTATCGTATTTTTGATTTTGCTGTCTTCATAGTCATTGTCAGTACATTAGATATTTGCATTTTTTTTATCTTGTATCCTACAAATTTTGCTGAACTCACTTAGCTCTAGGAGTTTTTGTAGATTCCTTGGGGTATTTTTATTTCTGCAAACAGGGACAATGTTAATTCTTCCTTTCTGAGCTGCATGTCTTTTAAAAACATTTTTATTGAATTTACTGGGGTGACACTGGCTAATAAAATTACATAGGTTTCAGGCGTACAATTCCATAATACACCGTCTGTAAATTGTGTTGTGTCTTCACCACCCCAAGTCTGCTTCCATCACCATGCATCCCTCCTTGGCCCCCTTCTACCGCCCCCCTTCCCCCGCCCCCTTTCCCCCGGTAAGCACCATACTGTTGGATTTCCTCTTCTTGCCTTATTGTACAGACTAGGTCTTCCACTACCATGTTGAATAACAGTGGCGAGAGTAAGTATCCTTGCCTGGTGCTGATTGTCGTGAGAAGAATTCAGTCCTTCTCAATCAAATGTAACGTTAGCTGAAGAGATTTTGTAGATGCAGTTTATTAAGTTGACCAATTCCCTTCTATTCTTAATTTCCTGAGAGTTTTGTCCAGGCACGCGTATTGAAATTTGTGAAATGTGCCCTGGCTGGTGTGGCTCAGTTGTTGGAGCATTATCCCACAAACCAAAGGGTCGCTGGTTCGATGCTGAGGTCAGAGCACATGCCTGGGTTTGGGTTCGGGCCCCACTGGGGGCGTGCGAGAGGCAACGGATGGATGTTTCTCCTGCACACTGATGTTTCTCTCCCTTTCCTTCTCCCCCCTTCCTCTCTCTCTAAAAAACAAATAAATAAAATTAAAAAAAAAGAAATTTGTGAAATGCTTTTTCTACAATTAGTATAATCAAGTGGTTTTTCTCCTTTAGCCTATTATATGGTAGATTACGCTGGTGACTTTCAAATATTAAATAGCCTTGCATCTCTGGGAAAAAACCCCACTTGGTCATGATTATAATTATTTTTATATATTGCCAAATTCTATTTGCTAATATCTTGTTAAGGAATTTTCTACCTGTATTCATGAGGGATGTTGGTTTTTATTATTTTTTTATACTGTCTTTTTTTAAATATCTGGTTTGGTATCAGGGTAATACTGACTTCATAAAATGAATTGGGAAGTTCCCTCTTTTCTATTTTTAAAAGAGATTGTGCAGAATTGGTATTAACTCTTCTGTAAACATTTAATAGAATTCTCTAGTGATTTCATTTTTGGGTGTTTTGAAATCACAAACCTGATTTCCTCAATAGCTCTAGGGCTATTCAAGTGATGTCTTTTATGTTGAGTTGTGGTAGTTTGTGTTTTTCAAGAATTGATCCATTTCATCTAACCAGTCAAGTGTATGTGCATAGTGTTGTTTATAGTGTTGCCTTATTAGCCTTTCCATGTTGGCAGAGTCTATAGCGGTATCCCAATTCATTCCTCGTGTGAGTAACTTCTATCTTCTCTCTTTCTTTGTCAAGATATTCTTTGCTAGGGGATGGCCACTTTTCTTGTCAAAGAATCAGCTCTTGTTTAGTCAACTTTCTTTACTGCTGTTCCTTTTCCGTTTCGCTGATTTCTGCTCTTCTGTTCTCTCATTTCTGTCCTTCTGCTGGCTCTGGGTTTATTTTGTTCCTCTTTTTCTAGGTGCTGGAGATGGGAACATGGATGATTGATTTGAGATGTTCCCTTTTTTCCCCCTAATATATGCATTCACTACTGCAGAATTCCCTCTCAGTCCTGATTTTTGACTGCATTTTGATTGCATTTTCACTTAGTTCAATTTTTTTTTTTTATTTTTCTGGAAAGTTATTTGATGCATGGATTCTTTAGAAGTGTGCTGTTTAGATTCTAAGTGCTTGGAGATTTTCCTGTTGTATTATTTATTTCTAGTTTGAATCCACTGGATCTGAGTACAAACTTTGTATGATTTCAATTATTTTAATTTGTTGTAGTTTATTTTATGTACTCAGGATATGGTCTATCTTAGTATATGTCCTGTGGGCCATTGGGGAAAAAAAGTGCATTCTATAAATGTCAGTTATGTTAGTTGATGCCATTGGTGAGTTTTTTGTTGATTTTCTGTCTAGTTGTTCGATCAATTGTTGAGAGGGGCATTCAAGTCTCCAACTATAATTTTGTGGATCTATTTATATCTCCTTTAGGTCTATCAGTTTTTGCTTCATAAATTTTGCAACTCTGTTGTTTGGTGGATACACATTTAGAATTGCTATGTCTTCTTGATAGATTGACTCTCTTATTATATAATATCCCTCTTTGTCTCTGGAAATTTTCTTTCCTCCGAAGTATACTTTATCTGATATTAATATTGCTGTTCCTGCTTTCCTTAGATTGTTTTCTCATTTTTAACTTTTTAACCTGTCTATATCATTATATTTGAAATGAGGTTCTTGCAGACAGCATAGTTAGGGTCATGCTTTTTAATTTACTCTGCCAATCTGTCTTTTACTTGTTATATTTAGACCATTTACATTTAGTATAATTACTGATATGTTAAAGCTTGAGTCTGCCATTTTATTTATTTTTTTGTTTTCTGTTTGTTCTTTCTGTGTTTTGATTTTATTTTTGTTTTCCTGTGGGATACCTGGACAATCTTTTAAAATTACATTTTGATTTATCTATAGCAAATTCCTGAATGTTCTTTTCACTGGACATAGAATTCTAGGTTGATGGTTATTTTCTTTCAGCACTTGAAAAATGTGCCATTGCCTCTGGCCACCATGATTTCTGATGAGGAATCTGATGTCATTTGGATTTTTTTTTCCCTTATGGGTAAAATGTCATGTCTCTCTCAGTGCTTTTAAGGTTAGTTTCTTTTTCTTAAGTTTCTAGAAGCTTGACTATGATGTGTCTTGGTATGGGTTTCTTTGTGTTTACTCTCTTCGGAATTTACTCAGCTTCTTGAATCTGTAGGTTTCCAAATCTGGGAAGTTTCTAGCCATTATTTCTTCAAGTGCTTTTCCACCCTGACCTCTTGTCCCTCATCCTCAGACTCTGATGACATGGATGCCAGGTGTTTTGTTACAGTCCCACAGGTCCCCAGGGCTCCGCTGTATGATTTCCATTGCTTTATCTTCTGGCTCCCTGACCCTTCCCTCTCTTCTCTTCCTTCTGCAGTTGAGCCCCTCCACCCAGTTTTTTATTTCAGTTACTGTATTTTTCAGTTCTAAAGTGTCCATTTGGCTCTTATATTTTGTTTCCTTGCTAAGATTTTCTATATTTTCATTTGTGTCAGAGAGCCTCCAGCCTGGGGAGGCTAGGAGCTGAAGGCAGGCAGAACTTCTCCCAGAGGCTTTGACCAACCTATGGGGTTCAGTCCACTTAGGTCCCTTCTCTCACTTTTCTTCACTGTTGGGGGATGGGAGGGACAGAAGAGAGAGAGAGGGCCAAATGGAAGGTGCCGCTCTGCAAGGGAGCTTTAGCAGGGCCAGGCTCTTATCTGTATGTTCACAGCTAAATCACTGCCTGGCACATAACAGGCTCTCTGGAGATACTGCTGTCTGAAGGAGTGAATGAAATGCCCTTTCCTCACTCCTCCCTGTCCCTAGGTTCCTTCTGTCTCTCTCCTAATGTGCCTTTGACACATTTTATTGCCTAATGTCTATTGGCTGATGACAACAATCACTGTAGTAACTAGTGTTGTAGGTTTAATAATGGCTCCCAGAGACACCCAGATCCTAATCTCCAGAACCTGTGAATATGTTACCTTCTATGGCACAAAGGGACTTTGCGGATGTGATTGAGCTAAGGATCTGGCCCTGGCCATGTGGTCAGTTGGTCAGAGTGTTGTCCCAATATGCTAAGGCTGTGGGTTCGATCTGCCATCAGGGCGCATACAAGAATCAACCAATGAATGCACAGATAAGTGGAACAACAAATCTCTCTCTCTCTCTCTCTCTCTCTCTCTCTCTCTCTCTCACACACACACACACACACACACACACACAAATCAATAAATAGAAGAATCTGGAGATGGAAAGATAATCCTGGATGATCCAGGTGGGCCCTAACTGCCATCACAAGTGTCCTCCGAAGAAGGAGACCGAGGGAGATGTGACCCCAGGAGAGAGAAGACGATGTGCTGGTGGAGGTCGGAGCACCATGCTTTGTGGAGCGGGGAGGGGTCCGGGAGCCCAGGAATGCAGGCAGCGCTAGCGGCTGCGGAGGCCGAGAAACAGTTCTCCACCCAGAGCCTCCAGAAATGACCAGCTCTGTCGGCCCGTGGTTTTAGCCCAGTGGGTTCCTGCCCTCCCTCACTGTAAGAGGGTCCGTCTGTGTTGTTTTGAGCCACCAAGTTTGTGGTGATTTGTTTCAGCACCAATAGGAAACTAGTGCAATTAGTGCTGATGGATTGTACTCCTATGGGCTTCGCTGTGCCAAGTCCAGGCAGTCTCCCAGTGGCCCCGGAGGTGTGTCCTCTCATTACCCCCACTTAACAGATGCAGCAGCGAAGGCGAGGGGTCTGCCCAGCATCCCAGAGCTCGCTGGGGTGGGAGCAGCCCCGCCTGGTTTACCCACCCGGCTGTTGTTGTGGGAAGGGACTCCAAAGAGTTACTAGCTCCAAAGTATAAAAAAAATAAAATGGCAAAGTTGAAAGTGTTAACAATTAAAAACAAAGTCATTAAAAATTCTTTCCTTCTGATTTTTTGTTTTGACAGAACATTTTCTCCTGTGCACGAGTGAGATCCGTATGTACAACGCCGGCTGTGACGAGAAGCCGGGCCCCCTTTGTGCTGCGCACAAAGCTCCCAGGGTGGCTCGAGGGCCCTGGGTCCTGGGAGCCCGTCACCGTGGGGCCGCGCCGGCCCACCGGCAGGGTCAGCCCCGGCCCGGGTGACCCCTTGCTCCCTCAGCACTTTCTCTTCCTGCGGCAGGGAGCTCACGGAGTGCCCTCGCTTAGCAAATTCACAAGCCGCCCGGTTGTATCTGACAAATGCCCCGGCAGGAATGCTGACTCTCTGGGGCGGACAGACGCGCGCAGGGCTCTGGAGAAAAGACGTGCCGTCTGGCGTGCCGTGTGCCCCACGCACGCACACGCTCCCGCCGGCTGCCGAACGACGCGGTCACGCGCGCCCTGGGCGGCCGCTCCTGCCGGCACCGCCCCGCTTCTGACGAGTGAGCGGGTCAGACCCGGGCTGCCCGACGGCCTCCACACTGTCTGCGGGGTGAGGCCTGGGCCTGGAGGTCCGGCCCGCAGTCCCTGGGGGCCCTGGGCAGCGCCTGGGGGTGGCAGCCGCCCCACCAGGGCGGGCAGCCTTCTCTGGGCCCCCCCAGAGCCAGCAAATGTGGGCACGGTGTGTTGCGCTCAGACCAGGGGCCCTGAGTGGCAGCGTGACGAAGAGGCCACGCGAGAGTCCCGTCGCCCAGGAGCTGTGAGGGGCCACCTTACCGTCCTCGCTGAAGACGGGGGCAGTGCACAGGTAGTGAGTGATGCCGGGGTCCTGCTCGAAGGGACACTCCACCTGTTTCCATGTGATGAACTCTCCGACCTGCTTGGCCAGCTCCAGAAATTTCTGCCGGGGTCACAGAGACAAGACGGTCGTGCCCACTCCCAGGGCCCGAGCTCCCCGGGGGAGCGGGGCTGGACGGGCAGGCTTCTCGCGCCCCTCTGGGCAAGCCGGGTGGAACCCGGGGCGGCGCATGGCAGCGCCGCCCCCCCGGGACCTGGCGGCGTCCCCTCGGCCGGCCCGCGGAGGAGCCGCCGGCGCCTGGGACTCGCCGCGTCTGGGGGTCTGGGGGCCTGGGGGCCTGGGGGCGGGCGCTCAGGCCACGGCCCTAACGGGCAGTGCCTCTAGCAAGAGGTGAGGTTACTTGAGTTTCATTCTATTTTTGTGGTTGTCCCTACTTATGTCAAGTTTGTTTATTTAAAGGATATGCAAATAAATTTAAATAAATGTATTTAAGTAAAGTTTAGGTAAATGCATTGAAGTAGAATTTTTAAGAAAAATTTAAATACGTTCATTTAAGTTGAAAAAAAGTGCTAAATTAAAGAAGGATTTTAAATAAATAGCAGCTCCTGCTCACGACTGGGTGGGAGCCCCACCCTTGGCCTCCTTAGATCCGCCCTGGGCCGGCCCCGCCCCCCACTTCGCACCCAGAATCAGGGACGTGTGAGCACCTCGCTGTCTTGCTTCTCGCCCTCCAGCCCCAAGAAGGCGGAAAAGAAAGCGCCCCACGCCGGGGGTGCGTCGGGGCGCCAGGAGCTCCCAGGGCCCGGGCCGCGGCCGCTCTCAAGCCCCGCCCGCTCCGCGGCGCCTCCAGCCTGGGCGCGGCCCCCGGGGAGCCCGGCCCGCGGGGCGCCCCGTCTCCAGGGAACAACTGCGGAGCCCTCCCCGGGCCTCGCAGCAGGCCCACCCAGTCCCCTCGTTCTACCCGGGCCCGGCCCGGTCTCCCGAGGGCGGCCGCGGGACCGACGCCCTGCGCCCCGCGAACTGGAGGCCGAGTGGGCCCGCGGGTTGGGGGTGACTTGGGGCCTTCGGCCGCCTCGGCCCCACACCCCCCGCTCCTCAGAGCCCCGTGCGCCGGCTGGGCCGCCGGGCGGTCGGGAGACGGAGCGAGCAGCCTTGCCTGGCTTCTGAGGCAGGAGCTCGGCGGCTGGCGCGCGGGCGCCCAGGGACGCCAGCCTGCTGAGCACGGGTCTCCCTCCGCCTGGGAGGTCGGAGGGCTCCCGGGAGGGGGACCCGGGAGCCCGCAGCGGCGAGAGTCGGCTCGGGGAGACCTCCTTTTCCGCGTGCCCGCTCCGCCCGCGTCCGACCCTTCCTCCCGCCGCTCGGGCCCCTCCGTGGGGAGCCTCCCCGACCCACGCTCGGCGCCCCTGGGCAGCCGTCACAGCACCTGCCCCCGGTCAGCCTGGTGCTCGTCAAGGGCTGAAAACCGTCCTGTGCGGGCGCGGAGACTCCGAGGACGCGCCCTGGCGCTGGCGGTGAGCGCGCCGGGGCGCGAGCCCCTGCTGGCCCAGCCGGCAGCCCGCGCCGCTGCTCTGGGAGCCGTGCTGCCGGCCGACCCGGGCCCTGGACCCTACCTCGAAGTTGATGTGCCCGTTGGGGAGGCGGTTGGCACAGCCCTCGTTCAGGAAGTAGATGTCTTTGATGAGCAGGCTGAAGAAGGGGATGACGATCTGGAAGGGACAGGAGGGCGGTCAGCCCTGGCCCGCAGCCCCCAGCGCAGGGACACCGGATACATCGGCGGGAGAGGCTTCCTGGGCACAGCGGCCGCCTCCGCCCTTGGACCTGGGCCCCTTCTGGCCTTGGGGCTGCCCGGGTCCCGGCCACGTAGTGTGCACCACGAGGGCAACGGGGCAGCCACCGAGGAAGGAGGCCCGGTTCCTTTCCCCTGGGGCCTGGCTGCCTCCTTCCAGGCCCCAGCAGCGCCGGTGCTGCCTGAGCCCCTGCTGCACACCGGCCGCTCCGCCCGCGGCGGGAAAGGCGCACAAACCCGGCGCCGGGACATTTCTCCCGGCGCCCGGTGGGAGGGACCGCGCACATACTAAATCTGCGTGCGATGGGAGTCACCTGCTGGGAAATTTTGTGGCCTCCTTTCAAATATATGTTTAACAAGTTGTCCTTTTATGTCTTTTCTGACGCGGGAGATCTGAACCTGCTGCCCTGCGAGGAGGCCTGTGCTCGCGGAGCGGGCTCCTGAGCGTCCAGCCGGGAGCCGGCCTGCGGGGTCCTGCCTCTCCCTCCCTGCCCGGCCGGGCCGGGGACCCAGACGCCTGCTCACAGTTCAGACCTCCCTGGAGAACCAGCTGGCTGCACCCTGCCGTTGTGGCTCAGACGGTGTGTCTCCCCACCCCAAGGAGTGTGTTGGCATCCTAAACCCTGGCGCCTGGCAGTGGGAACTCATTCGGAGATAGTTAAGACAAGGTCACACTGGCTATGCAGGGTCCAGTCAGTGACTGATGCCCTTGTGAAGAGGGGAACTTGGACACACGCAGGAAAGATGGCCACGTGAAGACGGAGGCCAAGATGGGAGCACTGGGGCACTGGCTGAGGAACTCGGGGGCCAGCAGAAGCTGGAAGAGGCAAGGAAGGGTCCTCCCCGGGAGCCTCTGGAGGGAGTGCGGGCCCGCCCACCTTGACGGTGGCCGAGCCCTGAGCGAGGACACACTTCTCTAAGCCGCCCGGCTGTGTGTTCAGCCCCGGGAGGCCGGCGCCAGCCCTGCCCTTGGGCCCACAACCGCGCCCACGTGCTGCCGGTCCAGCGCCCGGCGCCAGGTCCACACAGTCCGGTGCAGGCAGTGCTGAGCCTGCCCCCACCCCTCCCGGCGCTGAGCCCCCGGCCCAGGCTGGTGCATGCTGGCTGAGCTGGGCCGGGGGGTGGGGCGGGGGGTTGGTGGCAGAAGCACTGGGACAGGATGGGGATTAAGGGCAGGGTGACTCTGAGGCAGAGAGGGCTCCCCAGGGGCTGGGTGCCGGCGTCCTGGAGGCCAGGCATTGTAGCAGGTCCCTGGGGCAGCAGCACCTTCCATGCGCGAGCACTTCTCGCCGCCCCTGGCTGTCCACGTGGGTGCAGGCCCACCCTGTCCGTCTCTAACGTCCCAGCCGGTCTCCCGGCCTCCCGCCTTGGCGTCACTGTGAACCCACTGCCCTTGCTTTCTGCCGCTAAGCGGTTCCATCGGAACCCGGCCCAGCCTGGAGGTCACCCAGAGAAGCCTGTGCAGAGACGGCCTGCGATGGGGACAGGAGGGGGGGTAGGGGGAGAGGGCAGCGTGGACAGGAGCTGGCCACAGGCGGGAAGAAAGCAGAGCGCCTGCCGCAGCCTCGAGCCTGAAGATTCAGCTGCAGAAGCACTGGGCGGGGGGTGGGGGTGCTGTGGGAGCATCTTGCAACCTTCCTTCCCTCCTTCCTTCCTTCCCCCTTCCTTCCCTGTCCCGGTGCGTTCACTCGGCCCATGGCCATCTGCCCCGGCACAGATGGAAGAGAAACAGTGCCGAGTGCGGTGCCATGACTGACACCTCAGACCCAGAGCTGCAGCCATCCCGGGCCGTCAGCCAGTGCCCCTGGGGCTGCCATGTGGCACCTGCGCCCTGGGAACAGGAGGCACCTGGCGGTGTGCAAAGATCACACGACTCAGAGCCAGATTAAAACCTGACTCCCGGCACTGCCGCCTACTCGCCGTGCGGTTGGATTCGGTGCTGGGAGGTGGCGACGCTGAGGCCCACCCTGCAGGGCAGTTGTCAGAAGCTAATGGGGGTTGGAGGCCAAGTGGCTCTCGAGGGTCAGGGGCCCAGTGAAGCCAGATCCCTGTTCCTGCTGCCCGGTTCTCCGGCCTCCTGGCTCCTGTGGGTAAGGCTCGCCTGGCCTGGGTTCCAGGCCCCCCTCACTGAACGCTGCCCCCACCTCCTCAGCTCTCCTGGGACCAGAGCTGACGGAGTGCTCGCAGCTCGAGTAGAAAGGGCCAGCTGGTTGGGGGTGGCATGTCTCGGCCGCGCCCCAAACCCAACCACGGGTGTCCATCCAATGCAGGTCCGGAGTGGCCACGAACTCCAGGACGGCAGCTCGTCCTTTCGTCCCTCGGGCTGGAAGCGGGCCTCCTGCAGGGACCTGGTGCCACCAGAGCCCCCATAAGTGCAGGCATTTGCTATGCACAGAGATGAACAAGGCTCATCACTGGCTGGTGACAGGCTTTAACCCAGAGGGTCACCGTCACCGCCATCCCCAGGACTATGTGTGGCTTCTTGTATCAGAGGCTATGGGAGAATTTGGAGAAACAGAATCGGTCAGGGTCAGCCAAGGCCCTGTGAAGAGGCTGTTTCAGCGGGAAGCTCAGGCCAGTCATCTCCAGAAATGCCAGTGTGACCTGAGGCCACATCTATGAAAGTACTGAGGTTAGAATGAGGAAGTGCGAGACCCTATGTACGTGGCACCACATTTTGATCTGGAACAGAAGGGACTCTAACACACGGGGCTGCTCAGGGGTCTAAGGGACCTTGCCTATGGCAGGGCAAGGCTGGGGCTGTTGACTCAGGAGGAGAGGGGAGCGGGCCTGGGGGCTCTGGAGGACGAGCGGGTAGAAGAGGGGGCAGTCTCACTCTGTGTGGCTCTCCAGAGGGAACAACCCCAGGGGGTAACCGCAGGTCCCTGCGGAAACACTTCCTACCAGTTACAACTGCTGGGGGGGAAGCTGGTCTGTTTGGGAAGGTGGCGACATGCTTGTCTATTACAGATGCTGCAGAAGGGCGGGAGGTTGGGCCAGACGCCCTTGGGCGGCATCCAGGTTCCCGGACACGGCCCACCTGAGCCAAGGCAGTCCAGAGCAGGGAGGGGCCCGAGCGCCAGGCAAGCCTCTCACCTACCTTCTCCCGGCTGCTGTGAGCGGTCAGGGAGCGGTGGGCGGCCCCGCGCAGGGCTGTCCTGTAGTTGCAGAAATTTCCTGTCGGATCCATCTGGTGCTGGAAGGAGAGAGGGACGCAGCTGTGTAGCTGCACCGGAGGACGGCCGTGTCACCGGGCTGCCCGCAGCCTTACTTACCTCCAGGATGAAAAACTTGGCTGTCTTCACCTTGGCCCAGGTCTTCTTCAGCCTGGAGACCGGGCTCATGCTCATGCCGGCTGGAGGGCGGAGGGCACACTTGGGGGGGGGCCGCACGGCCCGGCCGCTCCCCCGGGCAGAAGGTCTCTGTGCGGCCCGAGGTGACCAGCCCCTGAGGCCGCACCCTGCCCAGGGCCGCGGTCTGCAGCAGCCTCAGCTGTCAGATCGCTGGAGACATTGTACTGGGGCGGACCCGGCTCCCGAGGGCGCCCCAGGCTCCAGCACACTGGCCCCACTTGGTGGCTGGGCCTGGCTTTGGGCCTCTGCTCTCCCTGGATCTGGGGACCTGCTGCCCAACCCTCACCTAGCACCCTAAGGGGGCTGAGTTTGCCTCAAAATCGGCACCTTCCCTGGACCTCTGGGGCAGGGGGCGTGGCCCACTGGCACCCACCCTCTGCACAGAGGAGCGCCCCGGCTGGTGCCCCGCATGCTTCGGCCCCCTCCCTGGGAGCCGGCTACTCACAGACGATGGCCATGAGGGAGTTGAAGTTGCCGATGTTGAAGCACTCGCGGGCCACGTCGATGAGGAACTCGATCACCTGGGCTCTCCGCTTCTTCTTGGATGGCTGGGGACAGGGTGCCGAGCCTCAGCAATGACGAGCCCCCTTCCGGCCTTGACCACACGCCCCCTCCCCCAGCCAGTCCTTCCAGGGGCCGAGACCTGTGCTCTGGGCAGCAGGCAGCCTGAGGCGCAGGGTCTCAGGCGCACCCCGGGCAGAGCAGCGCGGAGCCCACCGCCAGGGAGAGCTGCGGGGGCCAGGGCCACCTCCGGCCAGGGAGCCCCTCCCTCCCCCAGGCACAGCTCCAGCACCCCCGCCAGAAGCAGAAGGCGGCTCCCTCGCCTCTCCTCCCTGCAGGAAGCTGGCTGTCCCAGGCAGGGCCCCGGGGCCGGGCGGGGCGGGAGGGCAGCCTCCTCGCAGCCCCCTCAGGTAAGCCTGCCCTGTCAGCTGCAGGGAAGCCCCAGACCCCACGCTGTGCTCTTCCCAAACAGAGAGAAGCGGCCTGGCTCTGAGACAGATGGGCCCAAACCCTTTCAGAGAGCCACTGCCTTTGTCCCGCCCCGTCCTCCAGGGGCGGCCTGATGACAGTGCTGGGGGCCTGCTGGGGGCCCCGGGACAGGAGACGGCACAGGCGGAGGCGTCCCTGGGTAACGCCTCCTCCTACCCGTCCCGCCCCTGCCCCGTCCCCTGTCACAGGCGTTCACCCCGTAAACACCTTGCACCCCCAGCTCTGTCGTGGCACCCGATTCTGGAGACCCCACCCTGGCACATGTGCTGCCTCCAATCTTTCCCTGTGAAAAGTAGCCCCTGGGTGTCACCTGACGGTGGGAACTGGGTTCGGGGGAGGGGTCCCTCCGCTGCAAGGGAGACGAGAGGGTGCGCAGGCCTGGCTGGAGGGACCAGCCCGGTGACACGCATGACCGGCTCAGACTGGCCGGGTCTTCCTACTTCCCAGGAGAAGCCAGACACCTGGACTTTGATCGTGCAGTCTCCCGGTTCTTACAGGTTGGGTTGCCTCTACCCCTAAACCACAAGTGAGCCCAGCAGAACGGGCTGCAGGCCAGAGGCCCAGGCAGCCTAGGCTACCGGCCCAGGCCGGGGAGCAGAGGGAGGCCCCAGATCCTTCGGCAAGCGGTCGCCGACACTCTCTGCTAGATGCTGTGCACAGAGGCCGGTGGGTCCGCGCCGGGCTCTGCCTGAGGGGAAGTGTCACTGCAGGCGAGCCAAGTGACACCTGGTGTCCCAGAGGGGTGCCCAGCCTGGCCCCAGACTTGGGGATGGATGGGCTCCAGAAGCCCTTCTGGCCCCCTCCCAGGCGGGCACCTCCCAGCCGGGCACCTCCCAGCAGCGACCGTGCGGGCCTTCCTACGCACCATGCAGATCTCGGTGGCCACGAGGTAGCACAGCCTGTTGAACCACTTCACGTAGGCCTCCAGGTTCTTGGTCTTGTCACTGAAACAGGGCTAGGAAAGACGGAGGGACTGTGCTCAGCCTCTTTGTCAGTGAGTTTTGGAACATGAAGTCAGTTTGTGATCATCAGAGCCAATTTGGAAAATATCAAAACCTCAAAACCATCCACAAATACAAATGATTTGATGTATATCTTCTAGTCTTTTCTCCCTGCATTTAGAGATGTAATTTAATGTGATATATAAATATGATACGCAATTGTCCATCCTCATCTACTGCTCCCTAAAAGTTCATTTGTAAGCCCCCACATAACACTTGCGTCATTTCCCCTGCCCCGCCCAGCATGCGCGGGTGGCGCGGAGTCTGAGCAGCCCGGCCGCACTGAACGTAGGCCCAGGGACACGCGCCTCCTGCTTCAGCTCCGTGGGAAGACAAGCGTCCTGCTTGCCGCCCGCGCGGCGCCCGGGCCGCTCTGCGCCCGCAGCCACGCACGAGCCGAGCCTCGGGCGTGAGGCGCGGCGCTGCTGACAGTGAGTGCGAAGCTGTTGAGTAAGCAATATTTATTAAATAACGTTCCTTTACTCAGAAGCACAAAAGGCGAGGCTGCGTGCTGACTGGCTGCGGAAGACGCCCCGCCGGGCTGCCCTCGGAGAGGCGTTCGCCACCCCGTAGCCAGCGGGGGGTCCCGGGGCAGCAGAGAAGGGCGAGCCCAGCCAGCTGGTCTGCGTCCCGGGTACCAGGGCCCGCGGCGCAGCGCCCGCTTGAGCGCGGCGGGTAGCGCAATAGCAGGGGAGTGATGATTTATAGCTTTAATTCGAGCATTTCACCTAGGATGTCACACGGTGTGCTCGGGTGTGGTATCCTTATTACAAGCTTATGATTTTGTAATAAGAAAGGGGCGTTATCTGTGTCTGTGACTACACACATACACGGTCAGACAGTGCGCCCTGGAGCAACGGTTCGGGGCGCTCTGAGGGTCCCGGCGGCAAAGCTGGTTTCCTGTTTGCCCAGGGTCGCTGCCTCTTCGCCGCCGACCCGCGGCGTTGTCGGGAACGAGGGGACGCGGCTGCCACCTCCGCCCGATGGCGGAGAGGCTCCCCCCTCGAGAGGCCTTCGCGCCTCTCCCAGCCGCACACGCAGAAGAAAAAGGCGAGCCCGACTCAGAAAGGTCCTCGAGGAGGCACCGCTGTTTCCAGTTTTATTCAATACTGACCCTTGAGTCCACGTCTTTTTCGAGGTCTCTGCGGGGCGGCCCCTGCGCGGCAGGCGGGGGCCTGAGGGCGTCGGGGACACGCGCTGTAGGGGGCGGGGGTCTGGGGTCCGGAGCCCCGCCCAGGCGGCAGCGCGGGCACTGGAAGGACACTCGGACCGATGCGATATGCTCCTTCAGGCGTCAGTGGGTGGCTCAGATTGTCTTGAAAATGAACAAAATGAGCCTGTCCCTTCACAGAGCAATTGATAGTATTTGTTGCCAACGATAAAATTCAAGTTTTCAGGAGAAAATTGGGATCTTGTAAAACATGTGTTCACCTGTGGGAACTTGACAGCTTCCTAGTATGTAAGGACTTCTAAATTTTTTATTATTTAGTTATTGACTCCTCGCCTGAAGATACATTTATTTGATTTTAGAGAGAGAGGAAGGGCGAGAGGGAAACATCGATCATTCCCGTGTGACCCCGACTGGGGAAAAACTGCCACGTTTTGGTGTGTGGGGCACCATGGACCAAGCCACCCAGCAGGGGGGGAGGTTCATTTTTTAAGGAGACCAGTAAGTATTTTAATGGATATGATTTAAACACATTATATAATAAAATGTGCCAACATTTCAAAAATCTGCTTGATTCAGGGAAGCCATATTTTCCAAATGACCAATTTATAATGTCACAGAATCCTTCATGGGAAGAAAAAAAAGAAAAGAAAAAGAAAACAGCTCTAGCTGGTGTGGCTCAGCGGATTGAGCACCAGCCTGCAAACCAAAGGGTCACAGGTTCAATTCCCAGTCAGGGCACAGGCCTGGGTTGCAGGCCAGGTCCCCAGTAGGAGATGCACGGGAGGCAACCACACACTGATGTTTCTCTCCTTCTCTTTCTCCCTCCTTTTCCCTCTGTCTAAGAATAAATTAATAAAATCTTAAAAAAAAAAAAAAAAGGAAAAGAAAAGAAAAAAGAAAACCACCAATGGGTTTGCCCTGACTGGTGCGTCCACTCGGTTGGGCATCATCTTGCAAAATGAAAGGCCCGAGGATCGGTCCCCAGTCGGGGCACATGCCTGGGTTGCAGATTTGGTCTCCAACAGGGCACATATGAAAGGCAGCTAACCCATGTTCCACACTCTCACATCAGTATTTCTGTCCTCTTTCCCCCTCCTTTCCCCTCTCTCTAAAAAATAAATAAAAATTAAGGAAAGGTCAATGGATTTTAATGTAATAGTTTGGAAAGGCCACGGATATATTTTCATATTGTACATTGTGATTAATCTTTAAGAACTACTACTCGCCTGGTCGCAGAGTAGCATCAAAGAACAACAGTCACAGTTTCCTGAAGTGGCTGTAAAATACTTCTACATATTTTTCAGAGGTCGGATTTTCTACTGATAACGCATGTCAAGAGATTGAATGTAGAAGCAGATAAGAGAGTGCAGCTGTCTTCTAAGTCAGTCATTAAAGAGATTTGTAAAAGTATTGTACATAATATTATACCTTTTTATTTTGGAAAAGTAAAAAATAATTTTTTATTTTGGAAAATACAGGTATTTTTCATAAAATATGTTACTATGTTAACATATAAGGGGCTATTATTGTTATTTTTGAATAAATATGTTAAAAAGTTATTGGTTTTAATGGCTAATATGATAGCCATTTTAATGATAAAGATCGGCAGATAAAATCAACATAACCAAAAGTTCTCTGGGGTCCTCCTTAATTTTTAGAAGTGGAAAGGTGTCCTGAGACCAAAGCATTTGAGAACTGATGCCGCGGAAAAATTTTTACCCACGCACCCCAGGACATGTGCGAATGTTCACAGCAGCAATGTCTACAGTGGCAAGAGGCCAGAAACAACACAAACGTTCATCTACAGTAGAATGGGTCACTGTAACGCTTGGAAATGGCAAGAACCTAGAACAAAACAAAACAGAAAAACAACCAACCAGCCAAGAGCGGCAGAGCCTGCTCGCGCGCCGGCCGCTGGGTGCTGGGCTCCCGCCCGCAGCAACGGCGTCCCTAGAGACGGCCTCCGCGGCCGCGCTGTGCGAGTGGCTGCAGGTCGCGCACCTGCCCTGTCGTCGTTGTTACAAATGGCCAGATACTCTGTCACTCATCCTCATTCTTTTTTCCCTCGACAATGCATATTGGTGATTATTTCATACTTACAATTGCTTTTATTCTTTTTTAATAGTTGCATAATATTTTATGTATGGCTGTATTAAAATTTTTAATCCATTCCTTATGGATGAGAAGGTAGTTTGCTTCCAGCCTTAGGGTATTGTCAACACTGTTTATGCTGAATGGTCGTGTGTACACGGGTGTGTATATATGCGGAATAAAGTATTAGGTGTGGAAAGTTGGGGTCCAGGGTGTTGACACTATTGCCACACTGACCTCCAAAGTGGCTGTGCCAGTTTCCCCCTTCCAGCCGTGTGGGTGTCCCTTCCCTACACAGATACAAGGTTTAACCTTTGCTAATCTGAGAGGGGGAAATGCAATCGCATATTTAGTTTGTACTTTTATTAGGTGCAGGGCAGAAGACACAATGTTTCCAGTTCTGATTCGCATTTGACCCCATTGAGCAGCACCAGACACCCTGAGGGCTGGCTCTGAGAGAGGAGGGGCGCGCTCTGAAATCCGTGTGCGGCCCGCGTGGGGAGCGCTTGGCCCAGGGGCCGCTCCAACCTCCCAGGAAAGAGCGCCTCGACCTTCTCTGAGCGGCGCGCACCAGCCGCGCTTCCCTGAGTGACCGCTGGAGGGCACCCGCGTCCCCCGCAAAGCACCCAACGGGCACGCGGGGTCCTTTCGCGGCAGGGGGTAGAGGGCGCCCCCCCCCATCCTCCCCACCCAGGGCCTCTGCCAACCACTCCTCCGCCCTCGCTGGGTGGGTGACTCCGCCGGGCACACCCGACCCTCTAAGGCTTCCGGGGGACTCAGGGCTGTCGCTTTCTGAGCCCCTGGGGTGGCGGCATGGGTGTGGTGGGCCCATCGCCTGCCCTGGGTCCCTAGGAAGTTGGCCCAGCGGATGTCCGGGGATCTACGGCAGGGGCCAGCGGGTCAGAGCCCGTCCAAGCGCCTTCTACCTTTGTGCTGGCCAGAGGGTCCTTGTTCACGAAAGCCTGGACAAACTCCTCAGGCCCGATGTGTCGCAGCCGCGCCTGTACCGGAGGGAGAGGAGGAGTTGGGAAAGGTTATGGGAAGAGGTGTGTGCCCCCGGGGCACCTGGCCTGGTGCTCCCTTGGGCTCCCTGCCTCCCAGCCCACCCTGGGTGGGGCCCGGGCCCCTGCCCTACTCCCTGGGGCTCAACAACCCTGCTGGGCGTCATGGAGCTCAGCACAACCTCAGAGCGAGGCAGACCTCCTTTCCCATGCCCAGGGGCTGCCGCCGCTCAGGGGCAGGGGCGGCCAGCTCATAGGGCTGCTCGTGGGAGGTGATACCCCAGGAAACGGGGCTGGAAATGGGGTGATCTGCTCCCTCCTAGAGGGGCCTGGTGGTTCAGAGTTTGGGTCAGAATTGAATCCTAGCTCTCTCTTCTGCTGTGTGACTTCTGACATGTACTTAACCTCTCTGGGCCTCAGTTTCTGCACCTGTGAAAAGGGAGTAATATCAGCACTACCTGACAGGGGGTGGAAAGAAGAGATAGGGCATATAAGCGCTGAGCATATGCCTGGGAAGCAGCATGGAACTCATCAATGGTGGAGGTTCGACAGCAAAGGCACCCCCTCCAGCCTCCCCTCTCTGGGGACGGCCCCACGGCCTCTGTGTCCCAGGAGCCCGCAGGCTGTGGGGCCGGCTGAGGCATCCCCTTCACCAGCAGGATGCGCCGTCCGGGCTCCTCTGGAACGCAGGGGTGGCTGAAGTGCCTGTGTGAGTCCTGGATGCGGAAACTGAGGCCCCGGTGGGAAAGGCACTAGTTGCGGGAAGACCATACAGCAGCTGGTGTCAGAGCCACGATCGGAACCCAGTTCCGTCCCCGAGTGGGACTCGCAAGCCAGCCAGTGCTCAAAAGTCGGGCAGGGCTGGCCCTCCCTGCTGTCCGGGCCCCAGGGTTGGTGAGAGGCCAGGGGCCTCTGCAGATGCCTGGCTGGCCCTGCTCGGAGGGGCTCAGGCCTGGGTTATGCGGAGACAGGCCAGATGGGGGGTTCTCGGCTGTCCCCGCTCTGGGTCGGGGCCGGGGTGCCGTGGGCCCACTCACCAGCTCCACGTGGGTCAGCTGTTGGGCCAACACGTAGGGGTCGCTGCAGACGCTGAGGAGCTCCTTGTGGATGGAGGCCGGTGGCTTGGTCCTGTAGGAGACGGGCTTGTCGGCGCCCAGTAGGCTGTCCGGCGCCTGGCCCAGGGCCGCCAGCTTCTGGTGCAGAGCCTGCAAGAGCTGGTGCAGCCTCCTTCTGTAGGCCTGCGTGGGGGAGAGGGCGCAGGCCTGAACCCCACCGCTGTCTCTGACGTCTGAGGCCAACGGTGATATGCCCGCACCTGCCCCCTGCCCCGCAGGACCCAGTCCAGGGCAGGCTGGGGTTGGGACCAGGGCCACAGTGAAGGCCAATAGGAGAGAAGGCTGCAAGGTTACTGATGGGAACTGAGAAAAGCAGACATTAGAGAGGGTGCTGGGGGTCCGAAGCTGGCCCAGCCGTCTGGCAGCGGGGCAGCGGCCTGGGCAGCGCCAGGGAGCGGAGGGAAGGAGGGGGCGGGGAGCTGTGGAGTGGCCCTACCCGGGCAGCTGGACTTCTGCTCGGCTCAGGCTTCAAGCCACGCTGCCTCCAGGCACGCAGTGGGCCCATGACACCCCGCTACTGGCCCCATGGAGTCCCTCACCGTGCAGCTTGGCAGACGGGTTCCCCTTTTGGCCACTCTGGACTGGGTGCAGGGACAAAAGGCCGTGGCCCTACCCGCAAGGGGCACCCACCCTCCCACCTAAGGGGAAACTGATAATTCCCCCTCAGAGACTCCAATGTCCAGGGAAGGCACCGTCCAACTGCCTGGGTTCGCTGAGCGAGATGCTCACATGTTCCCAAGGGTGTAGTTAGCAACCCACAAAAAGAGCCCCTGAGCTTGTCAGCACACAGCGCCCCCTGAGGTGGACTTGACCATCGGCAGCCAAGGGGCTGACAGGGAGCAGCAGGCCTGGCCTGGGGTGGCACCGAGGTGTCAGGCAGCAGGCACAGGCGGACCGGCCCCAGAGGCCCGGGGGGTGAATGTGGGCACAGCCAGGCAGCTTCCGACCAGGTGTGCTCTTGCCCTGCAGTTTTGACACACACCAAGCCAGCGGCATTTTGCAGGCGGGGCATCTGGTTCACAGGCTGCGAGTGCGGGGGCCTGGGCAGCTCCTCAGGTCTCTGATGGGACTCAGAGGGCCCCTGGGGCCCAGCATTGTTGGTGCCCAGAGCTCTGGTGACAGAGATGGCATCTGCCAGCCTCTGATACGAGTGCCTGCACGCGAAGTGGCCACAGGCCCCTGTGGCAGGGCCCCCGGACACAGGGCGCCGGCCCGGAGGCCGCTACCCTGGACCCGAGCCCTCACTCCCAGAGCCACGGGCGAGGACCCGGAAGGACCCGCTGGGTGTCAGGACAGCACGTGGGGAAGTGGAGGCCTGACTCTCCTCTCCGTCGCGTGGAAGGCACAGTCCCTCTCAGCTCCGCTGTGCCCGATCGTGCGGGCAGCACGCTCGTCCGCGTGCCGGGACGGTGGCGAGTGGGCACAGCCACGCCGGCCCTGGGCAGCACAGCTGCCCGCCTGTGAGCCCTGACACCCCATGGGCCCTGTCTCTCTCCTTTACTCAGCCAGTCGTCCTGGGGGGTAAACGGGCCTTCGGGTTCCCTCACCCCCTGTTCGCCCCTCCACCCCCACAACGGGCTCCTCTTCTGTCAACCAGCCGACTGAGTCTCGCTGTGACCCGGGACCCCCCCACTGAAGCCGGGGCCATGGCTCAGGCTGCGTCCGCGTCGGGCGCGTCCCCCGGGCTCCGGTGTCGGCCCTCGGGGTGCCCGCCGGCGCCGTGCCTGCGTGCTGGGGCTCCTCCTGCCTCCCCAGCGTCCTCCCCGGTCGCTCTGGACGTCGCTCTTGTATGGCTGGTTCACCTCCCGGGCGACATTCAGTGCTCATGTGTTTGCATGTGCAGCTTCTTTTCTGGCGGCCAGGGCCACAAGGCCAAAGGGCCGCCTCACTCCAACACGTGCAGACAGAAGTCGCGCTGCCCTCCCCTCTGCCCCGGTGGGAGGCGTCCCGGCCCACCGCCGCCGTCTGCTGGAGCCCGCCCCCCCCCCGCTGCCACCGCCCCTCGATGTCGCCCCCCTCCCTGTCCACGCGACGGCCTCCTCCGCGGCCTCTGAGTCCAGGCTGCAGCCACGTCCCCGGCGGCTGGGGTGGCCGACTGGGGGCCGCGGCATCGACGCACCCTCTCCCCACCCCACGCCGCTGCCAGCGGTCTGTTCGAAACGCACACCTGACCCCTGCCCCTCCTTCCTTAAAATGCCTCTTCCATGAAGACGAGAGCCCTGCCCGGCTGGGAGGCCCCGAGGCCGGCGCAGGCCTGCCTGATGGCCGCGCCGCGCCTGCGCTCCGGGCACAGGCCGCTCCTCGACCCTGCGGCCCCTGCCTCGCCCTGCCCCACGCCCCTCGGGGCCGTGCAGCCTTCTCCCTTTGGCGCGTCCCTCCACCCTCTGGCCCGTGGGTGTCCGTGCCCGTCCTTCACCGGCCCCGCCCACGCCCCGCTCGGGACTGCTTCCCCGGCCTCCCCTCCCACTGTCCCCTGCACGGCACACCAGCCGCGCTGCTCAGCCCCAGCATGAGGGCTATGCCCGGCTGGCCGGAGGGGCCCAGACGCGTTTGCTGACAGACGGAAATGGCCTCTCCAGGCTCGACCATGGGGCCTGCCTGAGGCCGAGGACAGAGTGAGCCTGTGCCTGCCTGTGCTTTGATAGGACCACACACTTACCTGTTTACAAAAATGCAGATAATTTAGCAGGACTTTCTTCTATTGAACCAATATTCATTCTGAGTAATCATCTGAGTGATTCATTGAAAATTTCTCCCGTGGTGTTGACCTCAAGCGTATTGGTGTCTTCCTTCCCAGACCTTCGCCTCCCTCTCTGAACGTGAGGACGGATTTGCCCATGTCTTTGACTTTCTCTTTCGCGCCGATTTCTACACCCCTGTGGCTGGAGGCCAGGAGTGCTCTGCGGCACACGTGGGCCCACGCGGAGACCCGCCAGGAGAACAGCTCCTTGTCTCCGGCAGCAGCAGCCCGCATTTTGCAGCACCAGGCCGTGCCCAGCAAGGTGCCCAGCACCCCTGCCTCGCAGCTCGCCTGCAGACCAGGTGTCCATGGAGCCGCCTGCTACGTGCACACCATCGGGTTCAAGAGCAGAGGTCATCCGAGGATGCAGCTGCGGCTCCCCAGGTGCCCCCAAGTTTGCCTGAACTGGGTGTTGGAGCCCCAGTTTCTGGCCAGACAGGGGCCTCTGTTCTCTGAGGTTCTTGGAAGCCCCCCTGAGCCATCCTGAGGTCAGCGTCCGGCAGGCTGACCGCCGCCGGCCCTTCCTGGGAGGCCCTGTGCCTCTGGCCGGTTTGCTCTCCGTGTCAGCCTTCGGCCACCGGTGCCCGGGGGAGCAGCGGGACGGCAGCAGGGCTGTCCAGCAGGCAGGCCGGGCTGTGTGGACCCCCGGCAAGTAGGGCGGCCCCAGGACGGCCGCCCCGCGCCGCACCCCCTCTGCACGGCCTGGAGGTGTGGCCAGGGCACTGCCGCCCTCTGGTCCCGCCTCCTTTCTCGGGGCAGTGCCCTCTGTGCCTCCGCTGGGCTCTCCCAGCCTCCCTCGCCTTTGGCACCGCATCCCTGAGCTGAAACACACAGGGCTGGCCAGGACACACTCCCTGGTCCCCCGCCTGCATCGGGCGGCCCAGGGCAGGCGTCTCGGTGCCGTGGCCAGGTGCCGGGAAGGCCGCCGTGGGCATCCCAGAACCCACGGCCACGAGGAAGGGCCCCCCTGGCTGTGCAGGCGCCTCGTCCTGCTGCTGAGAGGTGGGGGGAGCACAGTGAGGACGGAGCTCCAGGGCAGGGGGAGGGGCGCGCGCAAGGTGTCACCCTTCTTGGCCGCTCTGATGGGGAAGCCCCACTGGCCGGTGTCCTCACAGTCCTGTGAGGGAGGGACTGTCACTGTCCCTCTTACAGAGAAATTGAAGGCTCGAAGAAGTTAAGCCCCTTGCCCAGAGACCCACGGCTCTGAGAACACTCGCGCTGCCCTGCGCGTGGCACTTCGCAGCAGCCCCCGCCCCGCCCCCCGGGGAAGGGATCTTTTACAGGATAACGCTGAAACAATTTTGGAGCAAAAATATGCTTATGTTTAAAAATAGCTTGGCAGGGGAAGTGTGTGAGGGACCAGGGAATAAATTGGGTGGAATGTTAGTGGATGAAGCCGGCGCTAAGCACACAGGGGTTCATGGCTGCTGTTCTCTCTGTCTGTATATGTTTGAAACATTCCATAAGAAAAGCTCTATAAGGTTAAAAATAATCCCCATATGCCTGACTTTTGGAAAGAATTTGCTCTTCATCAGAGCTCATGTTACCAAGTGCTTAAATAAGAGCACACGCGACTTCAGGGGCTCTGCCCCAAAGCTGTGCAGGGAGAACAGTTCTTGTCTCCTTTTACTGATGAAGCACTGAAGCTCAGAGAGGGCAGGCATGTTGCCCGAGGTCACACAGCTGTGGTTCCCAAGCCTGGACCTGGGCCCAGGTGGTCTGACGCAGACCCTTTCCTCTGAGTCCTGAGGACCCTTCCGCATCCAGGACGGAGCGGAGCTCCCCTGCTTCCTTCTGAGACGAGCCCCCGCCCATGCCAGGAGGGGTCCCTGCAGTCCCCCTGCAGCAACCAGGGAGGGGCCAGGCCCTAGCGGCCCTCCCCGTGGGGCGAGGGCTTTCTGGGGATAGCCGCCCGGGGACCATAAAGGAAGACGCTTGCCGGCGCCCGGCCTGGGCCTGGGTGGGGTAGGGGCTGGGGAGCCCCGGTCCCCGGCTCACTTCACGCCGCAAGGGAGGGGTTGCAACATGTCCTGAATGAGCCCTGACTGGCGTGGCTCAGTGGGCTGGGCACTGCCCTGCGAAGCAGAAGTCAAGGGTCTGGTTCCCCGTCAGGGCGGACGCCTGGGTTGCAAGTTTGGTCCCCAAATGGGGCGCGTAGGACAGGCCACTGATCGAAGTTTCTCTCTCACATCGATGTTTCTCTTCCCCTCTCCCTCCCTTCTCTCTACAAATAGGTAAATAAAATCTTTTAAAAATGCCCCAAATAAGTATCTCTGCTCCGACAACCCACACCTGGGGGCTGACCGCTCTCAGCAGCCCGTGCCTGGGTCTCCGTCATTTCTGGCTCTTTCCACTGGGTGGCTGGGAGGATCCCTCAGCACAGCCTGACAGGTTCTCAGGGGGCCAGCGGGGAGGCATGGCTCCCGCGGAGACTGGCCCACACGCACCCCCGCCCCCGCCACTGTGGCCGGAACCACAGGACCTGCCTCTGAAAGGCTGTGCCCATGGCAGAGGCAGGCCGGACGAGGGCCGGCAGCCCTGTCTTGTCGGTGGCCTCGACCGCGCCACTCTGCTGAAGGGCCCTCGGGGGGAGGGAGAGGCGCGGGAGACGGGCTCGTGGCCCCTTCTACACCCTTCACCGCTCCATCCATGCGCCCCCACTCCCGCAGCCGCCCTTCTTCCCACCGGCTGCTGTGCACTGCCCTTTTACGCAGATACCACCCACAGACCCATCGCCTCACTCACCTTCCCCTCCTGTCTAGCATCTACCCACTCACCTTTCCACCCACTTGCCCCCACGCCTACCCATGCACAGACCCTCCCTTCCCCCTGCTCATGCCTCCGCAGGCCCACAGACGCCGCTGGCCCCGGAGCAATTCCTCGGAGGCTAAGCCCGTGCCTGCTAGAGGCACCTGAGGCTCCATCCTGTTCTTTGCATTCTCACCATAGGCCCAGGGAACTTTTGTCCTCTTGTCACCCATAAGAGAAATGAGGCTGGAGACCTTTAAGTGCCTTCCCCAGAGCAAGGCAGCTGGGAGGACAGGGCCTGCCGTGCCGGCAGTACCCTGGCCTGCAACCGCAGGTCTCCTCTGGGCGGGCCGGGCCCCAGGGGCCTCTGTCCTCCCTGCCCTACCCTGCAGGGCGCGCAGTACCCCCGCAGCACCTCCGAGCGCCCGGCGCCCGGCGAGCCGCCCAGACCCCCCCCCCCCCCCCCCCCCCCCGTAGCTGCCGTTCCCACCAGCGCCGTCCGTGTGGTGCGCGCTGCAGGCCCAGTCCCTGCCCGCCTGCAGGCGGCGGGCCTCGCAGGAGCACTGGCCGCCGGTCAGCCCTGCGCGGCGCAGGGGCAGGAGGGGAGGCCTCTGTGCCCCAGGCCCCGGGGGGTCCGGCCAGGCGGGCCTGACCACGCGCCGCGGGAGTCCGCGAGCGGGTCTCCCCGTGCAGGGCGCCAGGTGGCAGGGAGGACAGGGGACACGGGGCAGGCCTGGGCAGAGGCCTGCCTTCTCTGCCGGCCCTGCCGTGCCCGAGGCGGAGCGGGGCTGAGGCCCGCGAGCGTGGGCGGCCGGGAGACGAGGCCGTGACGGGGCCTGGGAGCCGGCTCAGGCCGGGCGAGGGTGCGGGCGCGGTGTCGCGCCCCGGCTCACCCACCTCGTCACACGGGGCGATGCGGCCCACCACGTCCTTCACGGGCCCGATGGCCGACTCCTCCTGGAAGTCGCGTGGGAAGGTCTCCGTCCACTCGGCCAACAACTGGAGCAGTTTGGGGCCAAATTTCCGGACCCGGGCCTGCAAGGCAAGGCCGAGGGGCCCCCGCGCCGTAAGGGGCGCTGGGCCTGCGACGGCCACCGCCTCGGCCACGCTCCGCCTGGTCCGGCTGGGCGGGCGGCGGCGGCTGCCGGGCTCGGGGCGCAGCAACGCCAGGCAACACGGGGACGGGGCTGACCACAGGAGAGCATGGGTCACGCACATTTGGGGTGGAGTCGCCTGTTTTTGCTAGCAATCCCACCCCCTTTTTGTGGTGACACATCTCGGTTGCCCTCGGAGCCTCCCTGCCCCGCTGCCCAGTCGGTGGGGCCGGGGCAGCCGGCGCGCCCCAGGGTCCAGGAGTGGGCCCGGGTCAGGCTGGCCAATCAGAGTACGGCACGTGCCCACCGGGCACAGCGATTGGCTCACACACGGCCCAGTGGCCTAGGCCAAGCCGTGGGCCCAGGGCTTTTCGGGGCCCTGCTGGACTCAGAGGGGAAGGGGGGAGCCTGGCGCCACGGAGGCCGCCTGTCATCCACCTCCGCGAGCCCGGGGGAGGCTGGCCCAGGAGAAAGCGGAGCGGAGGGCACGGAGACACGGTGTTGTAACCAGGTCCTGTGAAGCCCTGGCGCCAGCCAGGCTCCAGACCTTGCAGTCCGGAAGGCCGGAAAGTCCCTTTGCCTTAGGCCCGTTGTAGTTGGGTTCCCATCACCAAAAGTTGAGCCCCACTGACACATGTGTAAATAGTCACAGCCCGAATGATGGGGTCAGGGTCGGGGGTGCCGCGGGAAGGCCGGGCCACAGCGGAGGGACGCCTGGAATGGAGTGTGCGGGGGATAGGAAGCCCAGCAGGTGCTGGGGCCATGCCAGGCGGCAGGGTTCCTATGGCGGGATTCTGGGGCACCCGGCCAGGGCTTGGCGTGAGCTCAAGGGCTCCTAGAGGGCCGTGGAAGCAGCAGCCTGGGTTAGAGATCCCAGGTCTGTCCTGGCTCTTAGACAAGTCAGAAAACCCCACGGGATTCCTTTTCAGGACAATGGGGTCAATCAGCGCCTCTCCAAGAGCTGGTGCAGGAGGGAGTGTCAGCCCCCCGGCACACTCAGGGGCCCGGCTGCACCCCGCCCCTCACCTTGTCCAGCACCGGCTTGTCCAGCTGCTGCTGCTCGATGCACAGGCGGCAGACCCGGGCCAGGAGCTCCCGGGGCTCGATGAAGAGGCGGGAGCTCAGCAGAAAGGTGAAGATGTAGGCTTTCTGGGGGCACGGGAGAAAGGTGGCATGCGCTCGCCAGGGCATGCAGGGTTCGTGTGTCCCGCCACCCCCTCAGCCGCCCCCTCTCTCCCCTGGCCAAGGCCAGTCCCAGCCCCGCTCTCTCCCCCATTCTGTTGCCCCTTCCTCACACTGGCGGGGGGGGCACCCACCTCGGGGTAGTAGTCGGCTGTGGGCACCAGGTGCTGGATCAGGGTGTCCAGGGAGGCTGAGGACGGAGCGCCACCCAGAAGGGGCTGCTCGGCCGGCCGGCTGTCCGTGGGCTCCGTGGGGGGCGGGCCGGGGCTGCCCGGGGTGACCATGTCGGAGGCACTCAGCGTCCAGGGCATGCCTGCCTGCGGTGGCAACGAGCAGGTGGGCACACCTCAGCTGGGGCCTGCTGGCCCCCGGGCCCCTGGCCGGGTGGGCCCTGCCTCCCACAGGCACTTCTGCGCCCACCCGGGCCCAGCAATCGCTTCCTGTGAGCGCTGCCAGGGACCCCCAGCCCACAGCACAGCCGCCCCGGGAACCGGCTCCCCCCACTCTCAGCCAAGCTGCTTAGGGACGGCCCTGCCACGGGCCCAGCCGCCTCTGTGCAGGGTGTTTGTGTCAGTTGCTGACAGTCGCTCGGCCTCAGCTCTGGCCACAGAGAGGGGATGAGGGAGGGGCCCGATCTGAACTGGGGGCTCAGGTGCAACCCCGAACTTCTGTGGCACTTGGAGGCTCTTTCACCCAGGATCCCTGAGCTGGTGGAATGTCACTGCTGGGACCATCCTGTCCCCATACGGGGCCAGGAAAGTGAGCACAGTCCCGAGGCCAGTGGGTGGGCCCTGGGTCCTGCTCCGCCTGAGCTGCTCTGCGGGCGTCTCCCCTGGTGGGCCCAAGGCTGGGTCTCTCCAGCGCAGCCTGGTGCTCCAGGCTCCTTGTGACGGGGCCCCAGCCACCTGTCGGGCTGCTCCCTCCTGCAGGAGCCCTCCCACCACCTCCACTCCTGTATCCACCTGGACACGGGGAAACCCTCCTCCTGGCTGGGGCTTTCCCTGCTTCCCTGCAGCAACGCCGCCCCTGCCACCCAGGTCGGGTCTGGCCTCTGGTGGGGACCAGCAGCTTCTCCCTGGCGGCAGTGCTGCGTGCCGGGGCGCTGCTCTCGGTGGCCGCCGCAGAGAGAGACCCCCCGCTGTTGTCACACAGCAACGTCTCCTCCAGGCGGGGGGTCAGGGCAGGCCGCAGACCTGCGCCGAGTCTGGCTGGGGCCTGGCCGCAGCAGGCACACCCCATGCACGTGCGGTGGCTTGTGCTTCTTCCCGGGCTCTGCCGCGGGCCCTTGGGGTCCTCCTGAGCGGAGTCTGCCCAGGCCGCGCAGCCGCAGGTCCTGGCCCCGCCTGGGGATGCTTAACCACAGCCCATGCTGGGCGTTTAAGTCAACCCCACATTCTTTTACGGCCCCCTCCACCCGAGGACTTTTTTTTCATTGCTTTTAGAGAGACAGGAAGGGAGACAGAGAAACATTGAGGTGAGAGAGCAGCATCAATTGGTTGCCTCCTGTGTGTGCCTGGACTGGGGATCGAACCTGCAACCTTTTGGTGTATGGGACGATGCTCCAACCAACTGGGCCACACCGGCCAGGGCAAGTCGCCCCCACATTCTTAACCATGGAGTCCTCCAGGCTCACCACAGGGACCTTCCAGAGATCAGTCTGCCCGTCGCGCGCCCAGCTGACCTTGCCCCTGCTATCCCCAAGGCAGACCCTGTCCCAGGCCCGTTTCCGTCCTTCCCCACCCCCTGGGTGACCTGGCCCGGAGGGGAGATAGAGGGACGCGCAGAGTCAGGGCTGACGCTGGGGATCAGAGGGAGCCCACAGAGGGCGTGCCGAGGGTGCGAGGGCTGGGTCCCAGCATGGGAGGGCGTGGGAACCGGTGCAGGCAGCAGCGGGGGCCGCGCCGGCCCTGGGACAGCCACCACTCTGTTGTCCCTTCCCCAGTAAAGTGGGAAGTGTTCCATTTCAGCTGATGAAACTGTAAAATTTCACAAAACCACCTCCTGTCTGTCTCGGTGGGCGGGCACCTGGGGCTCCGGGGAGGGCACGGCTCTGCCCCGTGCCCAGGGCCCGCGCCTGAGCCTAATTCTACGAGACAGAACAGCCGGGGGCGGGCAAGGTCTGCCCTCCCTGGTCAGGTGGACACCTGGAAGCTTCTCCGGGTAGCATCGGTCCAGATTTCTCAAGGACAGGCCAGTCGCAGGGGTGGAGCTGATTCTGGAAACCCCTCTGCAGGGCAGGGTGGTCTGCAGGGATGTGGGAGAGGACTTCCTGTGAAGGCCAGGGTGCCACCCTTCAGGAGACAAGCTAGGGAGCCCCTAGAGCGCCTCCGGATCTGGCCTGGGACGGGGGCTGGGCGTGAGGTGCGCAGGTCGGGGAGAGGGAGGGCACAGACCCAGTGCTGCCCTGGGGCAACAAGCTGCCGGTGGAGGCGGGAGGGAAGCAGGGGTGGGGCCGGACCCTCCGGTGCACAGGGGTGCCGGGAGCCTGGACAGGCTGCAGTGGGCCCCTCTGACCTCCAACCAGCCACTGTGTCCCCAGTTGGGCCCAGGCCTGGGTCTCCATGGACAAGCTGGTCGTCTCCCCCTCCCCGCCCCACCCCCCAAGGCTCTGGCTTCTTAGGCTGTTGCTGAGGAACATTCGTTTACATACGTGCAGGTGTGGCGTGACTGCTGGCACCGTTTAGGCCCTGGGGACAATCAGAGCAGGCAGTGAAGGTGGACAAGTAGGCTAAGGTGGCATGAGGTGGGCCTGGAGGCACGCGCTCTGCGCGGCGGGCACGAGGGAGGGGAGCACGGGGCAGCCCCCTGAATTGGATGCTCCCACCAGAGAGGGTGGGTGAGACCAGAGCCCCGCTGTGCCGGCTGACCCCTCCCCCTCCCTGCAGGGACGCTGGACGGCAGGGGCGGGGCGGCGAGGGCTGCCGGTGGCTTGAGCCGGCCTCCCGCTGTCGGGCAGCGGGGGCTGGAGCCGGCCTGCCTGGGACACAGGGCGGGGGGTGGGTGGGGGCTCTGCGCTGAGGTCTGAGGGCGGGAGGCAGTCCACAGAGGCTGGCCAGGCAGGGCGGGGTGGGGGGCAGCGTGTGAGGCGGCTCGGCCAGGGGCGCCGTGCGGTGCAGCTACTACAGCAGGTGAAGGTGGAGGCGCCCACTCCTCCCTAAGTGCCCGCTTTGATGAGTTCCTTTCTTTACGGAGCTTCTTTACACCAGGACCAGGTATACCAGGACATGCAAACCAGGTAGCACATATATTCCCTCTCTTCTGTTTTTATACACAAGAAAGCAGCACGTTGTAGGCATCTCCCGGCTCCCGTCACTACCGCCGCGTTTGGAGCCCTTCCGCGGCCGGACAGAGCGCCCTCGCTCCTTATCGGCTCCCGCCTGGCCGCCTTCCGTAGTCTGGGTTTCCAGGGTGAGCTCTGAAAGCCAGTGATAAAGCAATCCAAGTATCTGTCGATGGGTGAGGGAACACAAGATGTGGGCTATACATAGGATGGAATAATTTTGTCTTAAGAAAAAGCAGACATTCCAAGACCTGCTACAAACATGGATGAACCTCAAGGACATTGTGTCAAGTGGAATAAGCCAGTCACAACAGGACGGATTCGGTACGGCTCCATTAACAGGAGGCACTTAGAATGGTCGGGTCCATGGACACAGACGGCTGAGTGAGGGGTCCCGGGGGCTAGGGGAGCGGGGCGGGGGCGAGCGTTTAATGGGGACAGAGGTCCGCTTTGGGAAGGTGAGCGAGGCGCGGCGACGGGTGGCGGGGAGGGGCGCACGACGGCGTGAATGCACTTAGTGCCACTGAACTGCGTGCTTAAAAACGGGAAAGATGGTAGGTTTCATGTTACGTGTATTTTACCACAGTTTTAAAAAAAGGCCAATGATGATGGGAAAGTGTTTACTGCCCCAAGGGAAAGTCCTCGAGATCACCAGTTCCCCGAGCTGTGCTCCTACGGCGCAGCCGCATGGCGCACGTGAGGGGGCCTGCCCGGTGCTCTGCCTGCCCCCTCGAAACCGCCACTGCGAGTCCTCGCCCTCTGCCCTGCCAGGGCCCGGGGCTCCCCGTGCGAACAGATGTGTGCGTCGTGTGATTTCAGTGGGTGCCCACTTTATAGTCATTAAATGAACAAGACAAGAAAACGTAAGGGCTCTTTGGCCCTTAAATACTGTTGGGAGTGGGTGGGCATTGTCTCAGTCCCTTTGAATTGTACATGGCTTGGCTCACTGTGCCAGGAGGGGCCTTATGTGGGACAATGTCCTTTCACCCTAATCAAATCCTTGGAAATTCATCCCAAGAAAATAATCTAAAGAGGAAAAGCTATGGAGAGGAGTTGGCTTGGGTGTTAATTTGAAGCAGTGAACACAGCCCCAGAGCACCACGGATCATGACCAGAGGGGAGCGGACAAGGGCACTGTCACAGCCGTTAGCGGAGCCGCTGGTGCCGGGAAGTGACGGCTGTCACGACTCCGATCCCCAGACAGGGCCACGGCACAGGAAGGGAAAACGGCAGAGAGGAAACTGCAGGTACGCCCCGAGGTGCACGCTCTCATGAGCGTGGACGGAACCGCACCGGGCACTGCAGGGCGCCCTGGCCGCGCCGCCGGCCCAGAGGGCGACAGGCCTTCGGCGCCGCTCCCTCAGTGCAGGCGCAGGCCGGTCATCACACCTTCTCTGTCTTGGTGGGTTTATTTTTGGGGGAGTTTGCCCATTTCCTCTAGGCTATCCAATTTGTGCTCGCATAATTGTTCATAGTACTTTCTTATAATCCTTTCTATTTTTACAGAATTGGAAGTACTGTCCCCACTTTCATTTCTGAATTTAGGAATTGAGGCTCTCCTTTTTTTAAATTGTCAATCTAGCTAAAGGTGTGTCAACTTTGTTAATCTTTTTGAAGGACCAATTTTAGGCTTAATTGATTTTCTCTGTGCTCTTTTTGTCTGATTTCTATTAGTTCCTTTCTTCTGCTAGGGTTGGGTTTAATTTCTTTTTCTAGTTCCCTAAGTTAAAAAGTTGTTTAGCTCTGGCCAGGTGGCTCAGATGGTTGAAGCGTTGTCCCGAAAACCAAAAGGTTGTGGGTTCAGATCGTGGGGTCGTGGGTCCCATACATGGTTGGAGCATGTATGGGAGGCAACATTGATGTTTCTCTCTCAGATCAGTATTTTTCTCTCTCCCTTCCTCTCTCTTGAAAAAAGCCAATAATAAAAAAATAACCTCAGGTGAGGATTAAAAAAGTTAGGTTGTTCATTTGAGACCTTTTTATAGCTATAAAATACCCTCTTAGTACTGCTTTCATGACATCCCATGGTTTTTGTAT